AGCCAGATCCATCTACATTGCTTCCTTTATCTATATCTTTCCGTTACACAATTTCTGTTATGAGCAAAAAAAGCACGAGAATGGGATAATATGCGACGGAGCAATTCTCATAGAGTAAAACACATCCTCCCCGAATAGGTATTAATCCGAGGTATGTTACAACACTTCAAAATGCATGATATCGTTACAAAATTGACTTAAAAAAAAAGTAAAAAAAAGGTGTCAAGTGTAACCGCGCTGCTTGAAAAAAAACTTGTATCTAAATTAAATATAATTTTTTTAAAAGATAAAACTTAAATAGTATCCTTTGTACTTTGATGGAAACTAACTTTGCTTTAATGATATATATATTATTACTGATACCTGTATAAATGACTTGATATCAGTAAATGGCGTCAAGTTAAATAAAAATTATGTACGGTGTCTTATTATTCAATTACTATTACTTGTATAAAAGATTTGATATCAGTAAATGGCGTCAAGTTAAATAAAAATGAAAAAAAACTTGTATCCAAATTAAATATAATTTTTTAAAAGATAAAACTTAAATAGTATCGTTTGTACTTTGATGTAAACTAACTTTACTTCAGTGATATGTATATTATTACTATTACTTGTATAAAAGATTTGATATCAGTAAATAGCATCAAGTTGAACAAAAATTATGTTATTCAACCTAAGTGATGTGTATATCGTTAGTATAAAATATGTGTTGTTAATAATTGGCATCAAATTACTCTTATAAAATGATTAATTTACAACCCGAGTGACATATATGTACTTACAATACAAAATGAAAAAATTAAATCTTAATAAAATAATTTTTATGTAAAAACACTTGGCGCTTTTTATATAATCTTATTAAGTCTAGCAGTGCCAAGTGTTTTTACATAAAAATTATTTTATTAAGATTTAATTTTTTCATTTTGTATTGTAAGTACATATATGTCACTCGGGTTGTAAATTAATCATTTTATGAGAGTATAATTTAATGCCAATTATTAACAACACATATTTTATACTAACAATATACACATCACTTAGGTTGAATAACATAATTTTTGTTCAACTTGACGCTATTTACTGATATCAAATCTTTTATATAAGTAATAGTAATAATATACATATCACTGAAGTAAAGTTAGTTTACATCAAAGTACAAAGGATACTATTTAAGTTTTATCTTTTAAAAAATTATATTTAATTTGAATACAATTTTTTTTTTATTTTTATTTAACTTGACGCCATTTACTGATATCAAATCTTTTATACAAGTAATAGTAATTGAATAATAAGACACCGTACATAATTTTTATTTAACTTGACGCCATTTACTGATATCAAGTCATTTATACAGGTAACCATTTACTGATATCAAGTCATCTATACAGGTAATAGTAATAATATACATATCACTGAAGTAAAGTTAGTTTACATCAAAGTACAAAGGAAGAGCACACG